AATGAAAACCTGTTCCACAGCACTCAGGACCTCAGACTGGGCCAAAGGTTCACCTTCCAACATCACAACTATCCTAAGCACGCAGCCAAGACAACACAGGAATAGCTTAGGGACAACTCTGTGAATGTCCTAGAGTGGCCCAGCCAGAGCCCTGACTTGAACCCCGTTGAACGTCTCTGGAGAGACCTGAAAATGGCTGTCCGCCAACAATCCCCATCCAACCTGATTGAGCTTGAGAGGATTTGCAAATAAGAATGGCAGAAAATCCCCCAATCCAGGTGGGCAAAGCTTGTCGCGTCATACTGAAAAAGACTCGAGGCTGTAATTGCTGCCGAAGGTGCTTCAACAAAGTACTGAGTAAAGGGTCTGAATACTTATGCCAATGTGATATTTCAGTTTTTCCTTTTTAATAAATCTACAGACATTTCTAAAATTCTGCTTTCATGTTGTCATTATGGGATACTGAGTGTAGATTAATGAGAGAAAAAATGAATTTGAACGATTGTAGTATCAGGCTGCAACATAACAAAATTGAAAAAAGTGAAGGTGGTCAGAATACTTTCCGAATGCACTGTATATACCGGCACACAGGAAGAGCTTACACGTGATGCTAACGAAAGGATAACTTATGATTTGCTAAACAAATCACAGTGACTCGGTTCATACAAAACCCTAAACTGTAATATAGATTCACATATAGCTTTAACTCAAAAGGAAACAAATCACACAATGGCTTAGGGTTATGCATTAATAAAGCCATTGCCTATGAACTAGAAGGCTCCTTGACAAATAGTAACATATTTGTCCTCTAGGATTGATTAGACATTCTATCGAAAGCTATTTTGTCTGAATTTTTTTCTTCATTCTAAACTGTAGATCCTTAATATATCAAACTGGGAGAATCTATGGTCCTCCAGCTGATTCTGAAATATAATTCTGAGTTACGATAGCCTCTGTGGCTAATGGTGAGAGATGCTGGAAGCTATAGTACAAAACATCTGAAGGACCACACGTTCTCTACCCCTTTAGTTTAATTCAAGTGAGTACATGAATATTTCCAGTGTCTTTAGGCATGGTGAAGTCCTGTTCCATGTTCCTGGTTTTTTTTAACTAGATGAAGTTGGCAGTTTCAAGACCTACTTCACATCAGAATCCATTTATCCACAGACTCAGAAAAGAAACAACTGCCAACCTCCATTTGTCCCTTCATTTGTCAACAAATGAAAATATATAG